TACGTTTAATGGGCCCAACCATGCAAAAGTGCGTTCAAAAGCTGGACAACTACCTGCTCCGGCTGACGACCGGCGGACCGGCGGTGATTGAGTCAGTAAAAAAAAAATTAGCTGGGTTTACCCTTGACGTCATCGCGGAGACATCCTTCGCTACTGAGAGCGATGCCAATGACAATCCAAACAGTCCATTTGTCGTCAACGGATATCGACTGTTTGACATTCCTCCACTGCGAGGGGCGGCCGCCTTTTTTCTCAACAAGCGGCTCCTCAAGCTGTTGGGCATTGAGAGCTTCTTTCAGCCAGAGGCCTTTCAGTATTTCATTGATCTCACCCGGCACATTGTGAGCAGTCGACAGTCGGGCGCCACTGCAGCCAGGCACGATCTGGTACAGTTGCTGAAGGACGCCAGTGTTTACCAGGAGGACTTGGACACTATGAACTACGAAAGGATGACTGTTGGCGAGGAGTCGGAGGACAGATTGGCGAAGAATACGGAGCAGGTAAAGGTGACCTCAGCAGAAAGGAATGAAAAAACTAAACGCAAGCTGACGGACAATGAAATAATCGCAAACTGCATAGTCTTCATGATTGCCGGGTAAGACTGCTGAGACATTCTACGTCGTTGTTAACATTAGTTTTTGTCATTTCCTAGATTCGAGACTACTTCATCCAGTTGAGTTGACAGTTTATTGTTTTGGTTAAAAAATAATTGTGTATTTTTAGCTTTAACAAATGCCCTTTTTGAGCTTTCGCAAAATCTGGACGTTCAAGAGAAGCTTAGCCACGACCTTGAAGAGAAACTGTCTCGCCTTGATGACCCCAGCTCTGATGAATACTTTGACGCGGTGATGAACGAAATGCCGTACCTGGAAGCGGTTGTGAAGGAGACACTTCGTAAATACCCGCCGGTGTCGCAGATGAGTAGAGTCTGCTCTAAAGACGGTTACAAACTTGGCAATGTGACCCTTTACAAGGGCGATATAATCTTTATACCCACTAGGTAGTATTTCAATCATGAGTCAGTTTTTGTCTCATTTGGTTTATATTAATTGTGGTTCGGACTATTGCAGTGCCATTCACCTTCATGAAGACTACTATCCCAATCCATTTGTTTTTGATCCTACTCGGTTTATGCCGGAGAACAAGCACTCTTTGGTGCCCTACACTTACATGCCATTCTCAATAGGTCCTCGCAACTGCATTGCTTCGTAGGTGCTTTTACAATAACTTTCAAACACTAAAAATGACTTTTTTGTTTTACTCTAGGAGGTTTGCTTATCAGGAAATTAAGCTGTGTCTTTCGTGGATCATTCGCCGGTACCGTTTTTCTATCACTCCTACCACACCAAAAAAGCTTACTTTTAAAAAGGGCGTTGGCCTGCTCATTTCTAATCCTTTTTCACTTCAGGTGAGCAGAAGATGAATGAAATTTAAAATTTAAAAAATTTAAATAGTTTTAAAACTATTTATATAAACTGCACATGTAAATGAGGATGACGTTGCACTAGTGAGCAAATAAAGTGCATCATGATTGATACAAATAAAAAACTTGCCTGACAAAACAAAAGTTGCGCATTGAGTAATAACAAACAAGAGTACCCAGCTTTTAGGTTATCGTGAACAGTAGTCAGTTCGTTTTGGGCCCAACCAAACAGCTAAGAGTCAAGTTATCAGTGTCTAGACAGCAACAACAATTGTCTCTACTGCAGACGATCATCGAACAGTGACTTTCACTTTAGTACAGTAATGTTGAGCCTCGATTTACACTTGGAAATCATTCAACAGAGCCAGTCAACAACACATTGCAAAACGTGAATCAACTCACTAGTCAGTCAGCATCCTCCCTGTTCCTTTGTTATCTAATCAGCAGTAATTTGGTAATTTTCATTACAGTTACCAATACGCACTAACCCCAATACCACTGTCAGGGTGACACGAGACTATAAGTATAAATAAATATTTGTTGTACTAAAGTGAGGTTGACTGACCAAAACAGAGAGCACCTTCGAAGTGCTGCGCAAAAACAGTCAACCAGAAGGAAACTAGTAAAATGATCACTTTGCTTCTGTCAGCTGTGAACCTACTGTTGAGCCACTACTGGCTGCTACTGTTTGGACTGTTGGCGCTTGTTTATCGGTAAGTAATTTGTNACTGACCAAAACAGAGAGCACCTTCGAAGTGCTGCGCAAAAACAGTCAACCAGAAAGAAACTAGTAAAATGATCACTTTGCTTCTGTCAGCTGTGAACCTACTGTTGAGCCACTACTGGCTGCTACTGTTTGGACTGTTGGCGCTTGTTTATCGGTAAGTAATTTGTTGTCTTTATTTGTTGTCTAATTCGGTTGAACTTTTTCTGCAGCTACTCTACACGCAACTTTAACCACTGGAAAGAGCGCGGCATTGCCGGCCCTAAGCCGTATCCATTTATAGGCAACTTTTTCAGCTTCAGTAAGCCCATTCCACAGCTGTATTCAGAGTACCTTCGAAAATATGGAAAGTACTTTGGTGTTTTTAGAGGCAACAAACCGGTGCTCTTCATCTCTGATCCTGAAGTCATCAAGCGCATAATGGTTTGAACTTTCCTTCATTTATTCAGTCCGTCTTCTCATTAAAAGACTTTTATTACCTTCATCTTTCGCAGGTCAAGGATTTCCCCTTATTCCGGAATAGAACCTCTCAGCCGGTGACGAGCAAAATTGGCCAGTACAATCTGGTGAATGCTCGGGACGAACAGTGGAAACGGTCAGTTTTTTAAATGGGTAACCAAGTGAAACTTTCACTATTTAGATTTTTGTTTTAGAATTCGCGGCATTCTTACGCCCATGTTCACCAGCTCGAAGCTTCGGAAGATGGAGTCACAGATGAGGTCATGCACCCAGTCAGTGCTGGACACCTTTGAGCGGTACACAAAGGCGGCGGGCGCTGGTGAAGAGGTGACCCTGGTGGCGCACGACGCCATGGCCAGCTTTACAATGGACGTTATTGCCAAGTGCGCCTTTGCCACTGACACAAACGCCCACGTAGAGGCGGACAACGTTTTTGTGCGAAACGCCCGCGAGATGATGACCTTCAACTTGGCCCGTTTCCTCGTCATTCCCTTTATGCCCGTGTGGCTGTACCGGAAATTGCGAGATATGAAAACTCCTTTTTTCTACATGCCATCAGCGGACTTTTTTCTCAAGTTGTGCAAGCACCTCATCAGCGAGCGGCAGTCGGCGAGGAAGCAGGGCACTCACCAGCACAATGACATGCTCCAGTTGATGGTCAATGCAGAGTACGAACAGCAACAGCAACCGACTGCAAACGGAACAGCAGCAGCAGCTAAAGAAGAGGAGGAGATCTACGCCAAGGAGGACCTTCTTGAGGCTCATCACGTTAATGTTGGTCAGTATCAGTTACTCAGTTTAGCACTGCAACAGTCGTTTATCTGACTAATCTAATTCACTTTCGCAGGAACCGAGGAGATGGAGACTGAGAAGAAACTTTTCAAAAACATTATCGGCACCAAACGTTTGAGCGAAGACGAAATATTAGCGCAAGCTATTGTATTTTTCTTGGCAGGATATGAGACAACTGCAAATGGTTAGATTTATAAGTTAAAATGCCAATTACTCAATCTTTCTTTTATAGCTCTCTCATCAATTCTCTACGAGCTGGCCGTTAACCCGGACATTCAACAACGACTGTACGAGGAGATTCAAGAGGCAAAAGCAAAAGACAGTAGTTTGAGCTATCAAACAGTGCAAAGCCTTCCTTACCTAGACGCTGTCATCTCAGAGGGTTTGCGAATGTACCCGCCGGCAATGTCAGTCGGTCGAGAGTGCAATGCCGAGGAAGGTTATCACATTCCGGAGATTAACTTTACACTTAAAAAGGGTGAATCAGTGACTTTCCCTGTGGTTGCTATTCACCATTTAGAAGAGTACTGGAAGCAGCCTGAAGTTTTNGAGGAAGGTTATCACATTCCGGAGATTAACTTTACACTTAAAAAGGGTGAATCAGTGACTTTCCCTGTGGTTGCTATTCACCATTTAGAAGAGTACTGGAAGCAGCCTGAAGTTTTCAATCCTGACCGTTTTTTGCCAGAGAATCGCCATCTTTTGACGCCGTACACTTATCTTCCCTTCGGCGGAGGGCCGCGCAGCTGGTAAGTGGAATTGGAAATATAAATCTCTATCTCGTTTTAAAAATGTACTTAAAAACTTTTTACAGTATTGGTATGCGATTCGCCCTTACTGAAGCAAAATTAGGATTGGCCAATATTATTGATAGTTACCAAATTACACAGACGCCCAAAACGCCTAAAAAACTAAAGATTATTCTCTCCTTTCCACTGCTTAAAACGGAACCAATTTACATTGGCGTCAAAAAAAGGTGAAAAACTTCTTTGACCGGTTATTGAACTTTTTGTTTGTTATTTTAGTTGCTCTAGTCAACTAATAGTTTTGTTAAAATGTTTGCAGTTGTGTTTTTTGAGGTTCAACATTTATATAAATGTTTTTGTTTTTACATATAGTCATATTTAAAAAAAGTCACTTTACTTTTTTTGTAAAAATGCTCACAAAAACCCACATTTACAAAATTGTTTTATTTGTAAAATCAGTTTTTAAAACATTCAGTCAGTTTTTTGTTCTTAATCTCATTAGTGCCATTGATTCAGCAATTAGTTTAGTAATTGAAACGTGTTTAAAAATTTTGTCATTTTGTTCATTGGAATTGGGAAAACAAAAAATTAAAACTCATCCGGTATCAAAGTGAACGTAGTTTAACCGTACAACTTTTGCAGTTTTATTATAGTTTTTATTACTATTGTTGCATTTCATTTTGGTAACAAATGTTATATAATGTTTTTTACATTTTTATTTGTTCAATTTTTATTGTTTTAGAATAAACGGCAAATATATTTTTTTGAGCTATAAATGTCACATTTTTTTGTAATGAATAAAAACACTGAGTTTTTAAAGCAACAGACTTACAAAGTATTTGTGAACATTAATACAAAAATGAATTTTTACAAATCCACAATTGTTTTTGTTTTGATTTTTGCCACACAAACAGTTTTATCAGTTGCAAATTAACCTGTATTAAAATCTGTTAGCATCAAAGCGCATCCTAATGAATATAATCCTAACAACAGATTTACACTAAAATGTTCAGTTCAAATTATTCCAAACACTGTAAAAATATAGTGTTTCGTTTCGGCAAAATAAAACATATATTGCTTGGTTTTACATGAATGGTAAAAGATATTTGCAGTTTATCAAAATATTAATTTTTTAAAATACTTTTCATTAGGTAATACTCAAATTAGTTTTACCAATAAAACTGTTTACGTTGAGAAAAAACTGGTAAACTATCCTGATTTTATTGTCACTGTCAATCCTGATAAGCGAACGCCAGGGTCTTATGATTGCTCTCTGGGCTGGTTTTCAGGAGACGATTGGGGTTTTACTTCGCATTCAATTACTTCTTATACGTGGAATACCAATGGCGTTTTAACATTTGTTAAACCTTTTTGCCTAATTTTAAGTGCATTTATTGCAATTTTTTATTTTTCTAATGAAAAATCAGTTTAACTATTTTTATGAACAATTGTTCAAATACACACTACACTGTTATAGATAAAATGTTTTAGTGTTGATTCAATAAAATGTATCAAAAATTTTTATCAGTTTTTTACGTTGCTAGAAGAAATTAGAAACAATATGCTATGGTTACGTGCAAAAATGTAATAACTAATCTGTAATGCACCTGTTTGATTGCATAAAATCCTTGCCTTTCCGATTAGAAATAAAAGAAAGTCAAATATAGTATTATATGAAACATTATTTGTATAAATACATCAAAAATTATTTTACAGCATATGTAAAATTTTACAAAATTATTTTAATTTTTTTAATTATATAAGTTATAAAAATTTAGGCAAAAATGTATGCTATACCATTTATAATTTTTTGTTTATCAATTTCTACCGTTTTATCTAAGTCAACTGTTGTTAAACTGAAGGATATTCATTTTAAAGTTATGCCTAGCGCTTACAATGCTAGCAAAAGTTTTGTTCTTGAATGTACTGTTAACATTGAGCCCAAAACAGTTGAATATGGGGTTTCTTTTTATCAAAACACATCTTTAATTGGATCATACACTATGAGAGGTATGTACAAGTAATTTTTTATATTACATTGTATGCTGACAACTGAATTTTTTACAGGCAACAATTTGTATTTGTGGAGCAGTAAACAATCTAATATCAAACAAGGATCTTCAAACTATCCCACATTTTCAGCGACGGTTATGCCTGATAAACTTAAAACTCCTGGCGCTTATTATTGTGTTCTTGGATATTATGAGTCACACATAGGACCTGGTAGCTGGTCATCTTCTTCTTCAACAATTACTTCAAAAACTTGGAATACTAGCGGTGTTTTAGCACTAACAAAACCTTCGTTTTTAGTCATTGTAGCTTTATTTTTAGCAAAAACAATTTTGCATTAATAAAAAAAAGAAATTTCACTATAAATTTCATTCATTTTTTATGACAAAATAACAAATATTTTCTATGCAGCACAAAAACAAAAGCTTTTTTGAAAAATAGAAAATTGAAATTCAATCAGTAAGCTTAAACTTAAAACTTCTTTTTAGTTTGTTTGAAATACAAACAGATGAAATTTTTTCAAAAACTAAATTTTATATAGAAGCGGTTGGTAATGCGGCGCGCGGAGAGATTTACAAGCATAACGTAGTCCAGACTGACTTTT